ACTTGGTTGGAAGATCCCTGCGCTTCCTACACCAGCCCTGGCATCGGGAGTACCTGCCTGTCTAGGCTGGCACTGGCGGACTTTCCTCCACCCACCCGCCCTGTGCTCATCTCTGCCCTCAGGTGTGGGGAGACTGGGTGAGGCGTTTACGAGTGGGTGCTTCTCTCCCAGGGGAAATGGACTGCCTAGTTCCTGGGGAGAAATCGTCATTGTCCTCCTTCATCTCTTCCCGGGGTCATTAACCCTGGTGCCAGGAAGCGCCCTGTGTGTTAGGATTTCACTGTCTGGATTTTACCGCTCCGAGAAAATCACTCTTAGAGTGTACCTCCAGGGTGAGCCTGCCTGTGAGGGACTTGGAAATAGTACAGGACTCCTCATAGCCCAGTGGGGTTGAGGGGGCGTATGTACAATTGATTCAGCTTTCCCAGAGGGCAATTTGGAAAATATCAAAACCTAAAATATGCACACCCTTTGATTCAGAAATCCCACTTGTGCTAATCTATCTTGAAAAAAATCAGTATGACTATATAAACCTCCACAGAAAAGATGTTTATGAAGCATTGTTTATAAAAAAAATGAAAAATGTTCATCTTCAGGGGAATGGTGACATAAATTGCAGTCGTTGCACTGGATGGAATAGAGTGCAGCTGTTAAGAGTAAGGTACTGATGGCAAAAGATGTATATGAGACGTTTTTATATTGAAAGAGCAAGCAAAAGAATAAGCTATAAAACCATTTTTAAAAAGTACTGTGCGAGACGGGTTGATCACCTGAGATCAGGAGTTTGAGACCAGCCTGACCAATACGGTGAAACCCTGTCTACTAAAAATGCAAAAATTAGCTGGGCGTGGTGGTGTGCACCTGTAATCCCAGCTACTTGGGAGGCTAAGACAACAGAATTGCTTGAACCCGGGAGGCAGAGGTTGCAGTGAGCCGAGATCATGCCTTTGCACTCCAGGCTGAGTGACAGAGCAAGACTCCGTCTCAAAAAAAAAAAAGCACTCTATGCACGTGTATAAGACTTGAAATTGTTAGATGAGTAAATTAGAAATAGGGTAGGATTAGACAAGATGTCACTGCCACTTCACTTTCTTGTCCCCTACGGCCTCCTCTAGGACAATTCATCCTTCCTTGATTTTCCTGGCCAAAGTAACATGCAAGCCATCCCATTTTTTTCTTTTCTCCTTCCCATCTTTCCTTTTCTCCTTCCCTTCTTTCCTTTTCCTCCCTTCCCTCCTCCATCACTGCCCTTCCTCCCTTTCTTTCACTTTGTTTTTTAGAGTAACGGTTTTAGGTTCACAGCAAAATTGAGCAGAAGGTGCAGAGAGACGGAGTTCCCATACACCTCCTATCCCCACACACGTTCAGCCTCCCCATCCATCAGCATCGCCTACAGAATGGTGCATTTGTTAAAATGAGACACATTATTAACACCCAGAGTTCATAGTTTTCATTAGGCTTTACTGTTGGTGTTGTAATGCATCCACTATTACAGGATCATACAGAATAGTTTCACTGCCCTAAAAAACCCTCCATGCTCCGCCTATTCTTCCCTCCCCTGAGCCCCTGGCAACCACTGAGCTTTTTTTTGTTTGTTTATTTTTGTTTTTGTTTTTTTTGAGACGGAGTCTAGCACTGTCGCCTAGGCTGGAGTGCAGTGGCACGATCTCCACTTACTGCAAGCTCCGCCTGCCGGGTTCACGCCATTCTCCTGCCGCAGCCTCTCGCTGGGACTACAGGCGCCTGCCACTGCGCCGCCTGGCTAATTTTTTTTGTATTTTTAGTAGAGACGAGGTTTCACTGTGTTAGCCAGGATGGTCT